AATAATAAAACCACTTTTTAAAGAAACAGTTCAACAAAGTACACTTTCTCTCTGACAGATCTTTATAGACAAAATGTGCGTCTAGTTAGAATAAAGCTGGAGTCTGGAGGTGATTAGCCTAGTTTAGCATAAAGACAAGGTATCACCAATTTTATAAAACAGACTAGCATCCATCCCCTCAATCCTCCTTGCCTTTACTTTGTGCTACTATATATTAGTTGAAATTATTTTTCCACCATGAACACCAACCGGAAGATGCTTGATCTCACACTTGGTATGAATGAGCTTCACTGCTCAGTCTGAAAGCCATAGAGCGAGGATGACGATGCACGTTAGGCAATAAAGCCACAACACTATACAACAAGGCAGCATCATCCCATGTCTGCCCAACTAATCTGCTCAAACAAATGAGCTTTGTTATGATAGTTTCCATCTGAAAGACAAGGATTTCATCACATCACTGTCAAAATGAGATGAAATCCTTGTTTTGGCCAAAGCGGCCACACAAACATGTGCAGAGCTTTGAAATGCCACGTGTCACTCCTCATTGGAGACAATTGAAAAAACACACACAAAAAAGACACTTTGTTGACACAGGGCCGAAAGCTTAACATAATGCCTACCAGCACCTCTGAAGCTCATGTGATGTGTCTAATTAGTTACATTTATACAGACGTGTTAATAGACACATCGTGCTATATTAAGGGACACACAGCAGTTAACCAATCCGCCAAGTACTTCTATGCAATGACACCATGGCATCCTCACCAGTGACGTGCACAGGTATGGGCTAATGTTGCCCGGGCAACAGCCCGTTTGCCATTTTTATCTGACCTGCCCCTCTGGAGAGAGGGAGAGTTTTTTTGTTTGTCTATTGTGGCCGAATCAACATGATAAGCCCACATTTAGTATTGTAGTGTCTCACTGCGATAAAAACACAACTTGTCAGCGCTTTCATCTGCCCCCAGTCATGTGACTTTGTTTACAATCTGACAGCTGAAAGCAAAGGAAAGCCCTCCGAGTCCGGCCTCATATGGCTATGGTGATCACACCAAATGGCGTTAGAGTATAGGGGACAAACCAGGGGACTTTACTACCTCTTGACACCGTCGGTTATTTACAAAAAAAACACCTAAATATACTTGTTATTGTGCTTCTGTCTTTCTGTGTCTTTTACTCTGCTCTGTAAACTCCCTCAAAGGGGCCGCTCTCTCTCTTCTCTTGATCGCCCTCTCACGGGAGAACACTTCACTGCCCGCTTCATTGTAGGATTTCTGCTATGTCTCTACTTTAATTTGACCATCTCTGTTATTAAGTTATGGAATACTAAATAAATAAGTAATTAGATACCTTAAGGTTACTGCGCTCATAAAGAATGATAAGAATAATGCGTATTGAACTGGTTTAATTAATTAGTGAGTTTATTTAAGGTAATTAGTTAGAAGCCCTATTTTATCAGTAGCCTATGTCTGCCCAGCAGTTACAATGGTCAAACTACATTAAAACAGGATTGTCCCCATCTTTCTTTAATAGTTACTAACATTAGATATTTTAATGAGATATGGACTCCACAAAATGGGCCTGAACAACAAATGTAGCAGTTGGACATGAAAGTCAACTGAGTGTCGCTTGCAATGACAGTGTTGTGCTTTTATTACATTACATGTCATTTGTTAGACACTTTTATCCATAGTGACTTACTATTATTATTATTACTATTATTATTATTATTATTATGCAGTACTGTGGACAATCCCCACAGGAGCAATTTTGGGTGAAGGGACACAACGACTGCAGTGGGACTCAAACTTGCAATCCCCAGATTCGAAGTCCAGCACACTACCCACTGAGCCACAGCCAGCCCATTTTATTTCATGAACCTTTTACATTAAAAACAAGGGGGGGGGGGGGGGAGGCCCTTTTTCCAGTATAGAGCAATAGCCCCTCCAAATGTCTGTGCACGTCCCTGATCCTCACCATGACAACAAGACTAGACTGAAGAACCTGCTCACCATCAAAGCTTTTTGAAGTTAAGTTACAACACTTAACTCCCCCTTAAAAATATTTAAAAATAAATTGAAATACACTTTCCCTTAGAACAAGATAATGTACATTTGTCAGCTTTAGAGGTGGTGGATGTTTTATTTCACTTTAAACAGTACCATGTTATCTGTTCCCCACTGCAAATAAGCAATATGTTGAACCATTTCTTAAAATAGACCTTTTGAAACCAAAGTATGAACCACAGTGACAAGTGAAAAGAAAAAGAAGATGCTAATGGGTATGATTATATAGAAACAAATGAACAGATGCTGCCACAGCTAGTGGGTTCTCTGTGAATAGCGGAAGCTGAAAGGGTTGTAATGGTTACTAAACACTTTCAGCAGGAAGCGTTCAAAAGCATCTGAGGGATGACAGCACAAAAGAAACACCATAAATACATACACTTATCTTTCCTTTAGGATACATATATGGTTTGATTTATTTTATGTAACAGTCACACGTATACATATATAAAACCTAAAGATGAGATTCAGTTTATGTAGATTTGTTCTGTAATAATGTTGATAATAACACCAATTTAGTCTCTTTACAAGAATCAAACCAAGATAGGTGCACTTCATTTTTCTCTCAATATAAATGTTCCTACAGTTTCCACCCATAGAAATAATGTAGATTTTATGTAACTGTTCAAAGGTTTAAAAATAGACAACCTGTTGCCACGCCGAATGGCTAAAAGTGGACCTATTATGCTATATTGGAAACATATATTGTAGGGCCATACAAAACATGTCTGTGAAGTCTTTTGCTTAAAATACCAAACAGATCACCCATTGTAGCCATGCCTGCAGGGGCATTTTTATATGTACAAAAGTGGTGGGGCACAAAGAACGTAGATGTTCATATATAAGCTTCTGCAGTGATGTGCAGTGAGGTTCATGGCTGGTGAGGCACTGACTCTTCAGGTTTACAAATATTATATTTTGACCTAAATCAAAATATTATATTATTTTCAAAAGCTTTTTTTGTCTGATGCTTCGATTAATTTGAAACAGACAGTTCAACAAAAGGATACCCAAAAAATGTAATTTAATTATTATTTTAATACTTTCTGCTGACACTAGGTGGGGCTGCCCCTAATGACCAGTCACCACTGCATGCCTCATACTGCTCATACCCCTCTTTTGCAGCCCTGTTAGAGAAACGCGGATTGTGTGTCCTTAGCTTGAAACAAAAGAAAAGAGATACAGTTAAATTCTGCTGTGATAAAACGCCATCCTGTTCTAAACCACATCAAGGATTATTTCTGAAACAGTATGGAGCTCAAATGCTTTTTCTCTTTTTTAAAAGCAATGGGATTTCTCCAGAGGGTTTTGGAAAATATCTCGAAATAATGTCTGTGGAAAAATAACCTGTTTGATAAATGCACGTTCTGTTCAGCCGGATAATCTCCACATGTCTACTCTACTTTTATAATTTTTTAATCATATATCTAATCGCCAGAAGCAAAATGCTAACGTTATGCTATAAACGAGCTACAGCAGGGTCGCTGCTTCAACGTCACGCCAACTTAAGATCCATATTCAAAAATACAGATTCAAAATTGTACAAGTTGAAGCGTTTGTTTGAACAGTTTGCAGGAGGCAGGTACTTGCTTTCAAGCAGAACAGGGGGAAACAAACTTAGCGGGAGTGTTTACGTATTCGGTGTAATGACGTACAACGGCCTCGACAACTTCTGTAGTCCTTTTCAGCCACTTGTTAACAACCATCGTTTTTCAGACACGTCAACTCTTCAGAAATCACCAGTGGGGTCACTGCTGATGTATTTAATGTCGTAGAACAAAATGTGATCTGTCTCTTAAATGTGTCTCAACCACAGACCTTATTTCCAGCTATTTTCCAACATCCCATTGGCTCTGAGACGAGGGAACCGGTAGTGGTAAAATGCTAACTCACTTCCGGGTTTTAGGACTCGTCACTGCACCACTCTATTACATTTTGCATTGCTGTACGCCTACACTTAATCAAAAGCTATTTCAAGATATTTTCATTCCAATAAACAACCTTAAAGCTATTATAATATCAAGACAATCTTGTAGGGCATAGGTAGCAAGATGATCATATTTTCCATTCAACCACAAGCTATTTCCTCTATTTTCTCTTCAATAATTCATAATATGTATGACTGATATTTCCTACCAGGCCATAAGCACACAGGGTTCCAAGATGCATGCATTAGTGACTCACATGTTGCTTTTGTTAAGCAGCTATTCTGTAGCTAAACCCTCTAAGAGCCATACATTTGCTAAGATGGCTAATGAGTTGATGAAAATCAATATCGTGGCGAGTTCTGCTAATTCAAATGTTGGAAACATTTGAACATGTCGGTGACCATGTTCATGGTTGGATGTTTTTACTTTTTATTCTACTGAATTGCAATTGTGGCACCAAATGGAAGTATTTCAGCTTTGTTTACCTCCTAAGACCCAGGGACTTAGACCACACAGATCAGGATAAGTCCAAAGCCCCTTACAGGCACATACCTTCAAAAGTATCCCTGGTTCAATCATGTGTTCTTATTGAATTATTAGGAATACTAAACATTGGTCAGATTAGGACTTCAGCTGAAGTGGTAAACAATCTGTCAAATGTCCAAACTGCCACCTAAATATGGTCTCTCTTAACAAAAATAACTATATTTTGACATCCCCAGGCAGTTCTGAAACCTCACCCTGGATTGCAAATCTACAGCCAGAAGGAGGGGGATTGACAGCTCTTTGAACCCACCCCAAAACACAGCCGACAGCAAGTCAGCGTCCTGCAGCGGGACAAGTAAACACACCACACACTGGCATCACATGGATAACAGACAAGACGCAGAGAGAGTCATACGTCATGCAGAATCACAACCCTCTCAGATCTCAAGGAGAGGAGCAACAAGTTGAAAGAGAGAATGATCTTTTGGAATGGATAGAGAAGGAAAAACAGGTGACTTACCTGACTTGCGCTTGGAGCCATAGTCCCTGAAGGAGAAGCAACACAAGAGGGACATAGTTAGTGACAGCAGATGCCGGTCTAGCAACAACAAAAAAGCATGCGTTCAACGCATGTGGATTCTGACGGTCCTGAAACGGCAAAAGCTGGCAACTGCACTCGCGAAGAAGAAAAAAACACATTCATGCAATCGGCTTTAGCCCGCTAACAAACGCATGTGTTTGAGGGAGAGAGGCGGAGAGTGAAGGATGGAGGGAGAGGGAGGAATGACTTTGGCCAGCTGCCCGTGCTCCCTGCAACAGACAGAAATTGGTCATGTGACTCGGCAGCGGCACCACCATCCTCTTCCTATACTCCCTCCCTCCCTCACCCTGTCAGAGAAGGCGACTTCTCCCCACATTTGGAAGAGGGAGGATCAGTTTAAGATGCCTTGCTTAATAGATTTGAATGGGATTATGCTACAAGGTTAAGCTATAGATGGGAGGGGGGGGGGGCAGCATTGTGTGTGAGGTCCCCTTGTCAATAGTGACTTTCTGGACTCTGGCAGCATGACAATTGAGTTAAAAAAGATCGCGAAGGAGAGATCAGGTAGAGACAGTGAGCTATTTATAGAAATGCAAACCTGACATTGTGTCCATCGTCACTCCTTATGATCCCTCCCTTTCCTTTCCTCCCTGACTCTTCCTGTCCTTTTCTCCTGTGCTGCTCAGGAATAATGTGTCCTTTTCCCAGGTCTAATCAGAAACCCTCATCTAACCTCAACTCTTGCCACGTCATGGTTCTGCAGTACGGTTGAAAATCAGACAAAAAACTAAAGCATGATGCTGCAGTGAAAAGCTCAATGCCACTTATCTGCAGTCGTTTATAAATAACCACCATATAGGCAGTGCTATCAACCCAGAAACATAAGAGCTGTAAGGTGAAGTGTTCTGTGGATGACTAATAGGAACATGACTCTCATTTCAAGAGGAGTTCCAGCCCTGCATCTGGGGTCTACCGGTACATCCAGGATAGCAGAGGGATGTGTGGCAGTGATAGGTGTACGCATAATGGTGTTAAACCCGTTAGCGTTTACCTAAAACCAAGAAGGGAACCTTTTAGGTTTAAGCTTTAAAAGTGTTGATGTCATTATGTCAATTATTTTAGCAAATACAAAGATATTTTCCTTAACAGTATTCGTAACCATAAATAATCTGGATTTGCAGTAAATTCCCATTAACGAGTGATTGACTCTACATATGATACCAATGTCTAAAAAAGAGCACCTGAGAGTCAATTTTAACGGTTATGGTTGTGTGGTCTTATTTTACTTTTCTTTTTATGTATCAGCTAATTTCCTTAAAGAGATGCACTTTCAGAATATAAACTCATATTTGTTCATTTAGCATAGGTAAATCAAAACATAGGAAACCAGAAAAAAGATCAAACTTAAATAAAAAATGTTAGATAAAACAAATAAGTAATACAATTAAATAAAAACAAAAATCTAAGCAATAATGTATTTAGAGTTAAATTAAAGCTGATAACAAAGCAATGACTCATACATGTGGCCTAATTTTATTTGCTTTCAGTTATTTATGGTATTTAAATATGTTTTTAACAAACACATTCCAATTTCTAAACATAATGGAATCATTCTTATACTCTTTCAAAGGGTGAACCGGCATTGTTGTGCTACTATATTATCATTGCATTATTGTACTTAAATGGTCTCCAAACGGCAATAACACAGCAATATCTCGTCCAACAAAATAACATGGCCAATGTGGGATTGATCGTGGATGTTCCTTCAATGTTCACCATCAACTACCCAGCTAAACGCGTCGCTGGTTGGAACAGTTGACCCGGCAAGCACCTGTAAAGCAGCCCATTTCACTAATAAGAGAGTTCTCATCTTGTCAGGCATGATGCAGAGCAAATAGGCCCAGAACATTATAATACAGCACCAGGAGGGCAGCAAGTCAAGATGGTGCCCTCTCTCTGCTGGAGGTTAATGAAAACCTCCTCTTGGCTCTCGCTATGACTCCAAGAACTCGGAGTAAGGAAAAAATAGAAGGGTACTCATGACACATGCATGAGTATCAAGGCAATGTCTCATTTCAAATACACCAGATCGAAATTCTCGAGTGTCACTATGCTTGTCCTGACTCGCTCTTCCTCCATCCCTTCATCCAGAATCCTGTGATCTGATGTATCTGCCTCTTTGTGACCAGTCACAGCAGATGAATAAAGCCTTTATACCGACATCTCCACCACCATCACTGTGTGCTTCATTGTCACCAAAGTGGGGCACAGAGAGAGCGGGACTTGACCCCCCTACCCTCATCCCAGCAATCTCAAGCCACACACGATGGTTAATTTTACATTACATTGCATTTAGCTGACGCTTTTATCCAAAGCGACTTACAATAAGTGCATTCGACCAGGAAGACACAAACTTGAAGAAAACAGAATCATATAAGTACATCAGGTTTCATAGAGCCAAACATTTCAACTGCTACTCAACTAGCTTTAGATAAGCCAGTCCTTTGTTAGTATATAAGTGCTTTGTTAGTAATTTTTTTGTTAGTAATTCTATTGCTCGAAGTGGAGTCGAAAGAGATGAGTTTTCAGTCTGCCCCGGAAGATGTGTAAGCTTTCTGCTGTCCTGATGTCAATGGGGAGCTCATTCCACCATCTTGGAGCCAGGATAGCAAACCCACGTGTTTTTGCTGATGGGAACTTGGGTATAATAGATTTAATTGAATGGCAAAATGCTGCAGTGTCTTAATGGAAAGAATTCCATGGACAGACGAAGTCTCAAAGTCGGCTGGGTATTGCCAGGATGTTTGCCCTTTTTCCCTCTACGCTTGCAGCACTGGCGTTCAATATGCCGAGATATCCTCTGTTCGGCGTAGGGAATGTTTTACATTTCCAGGAAATGTTAATAGCTGTGTTCACATTTCCATTTGCCCAGTACTCTTCTCTTACCCACCCTCGATCTTTTGCTAGCTCAATCAAACGCATCGTCATGATTTAGGTATGCTAAAATTAGGTACTACATTTCATTCCAAAGTAAGTATTGCTTTCATGTAATAAGATGAATAGTTATTTTGGGAATTGGATGCCTAATTTTGGAACATTCCTCAAACATTGAAGCTTGCTCGGAAAGGAAAACTCCTGTTCATTTCCTCTATTCCGGGTTATTCATTTGCCAACATTAAATACGAGCATACACTTACTGGAGCACTGTTTGTAGGACTTAACTGGGAAGCAGAAATTCAGGTCAGCAGGGTCAAGAGGCCAGTAGCAATAGCCTTAAGAACCTTAAAAACCAGCTCTGCACTGGGCAGCTTAATAAACCCCAAGTCCTGACACAGAAATACATGTTCACTCTATTTAAAGAAATGGTTCACATCTGGTTCAAATTAAGAAACAAGCTTACACAAAGTATATACATGACAGGTAACCAATAAGAAAAAAAGTGACCAAATGTGTAAAAGGATGGCCCCTCCATCAGCCAAACTGCAGAGGTAGTTTTGATATGCATGCTGCAATCCAGCTGGGTTAATTGAACAAGCTAACGGTGAATGATCTACGCAGGGTGACAACACAATAGGTGTAAGTGTGGGACCTAGAAATGGCTGGTTTTAACTTATCAAGGGGATAATGACAGGGGCCAATGAATGAGTTTTGTTTGGTGGAGAACAGCAGCAGCATGAAAAGTACTTTGCTGTAGCACACTCCCAGGGAGCCTGTTAAGCTACACATGCTGTGCATGGGTTGAAAGGCAAATACGACCTCCGAGCTCTATAAACCAGTCCAAACAAGTCCCAATCAAGAAAAAGGCATGGGTGTGAGCAGGTTCTGCTCCAACTCTAGATGTCTACACAATCACTTGAAAGTAAACTGGAGCTGTTTGATTCTCTGGGGTTAATTGTTCTTGATAAATGATCACATGCGGTCCCTGAAGACACAGATGTTGAAGTGCTTTGTTAATCCTGACAAGTAGAGTGACTGCTGCTTGGATCAATAGCATGTGCTTTGACTGTCGGTGTGAGAGAGCAGGTCAGAGTGAAGGTTTGGTCGTGTCACACGTGGGTGGTTGTGGGCAGTAAGCATTCACAAAGGGCTCTAGAACAACATGCCTGCATGACATCCAATCATTAGCCCACTGAAACAGCTCAAGAAGCAAACATAAATGAACACATTAGCCATGCTAGCAAGATAATCAGAATCAAGATTACCCTAGTTTAATCAAGAAGATTATTTCTGCCAAACAGTAAAATACTTGCCAACATTTAACAATACAATGGGACATGCCAGTGGTAGTGCTACTGGCTTTATTTTTAGGTATGGTTTGGAGGCATCTGCAAGGCATTAGGGCAAAAAGGAGGTGCAGAGGAGGGGGAAACCTAGACATAAAGAGTGGGAGGATGAGGAAGGAGAGCAGATACACTGGGTCCAGACCCTATCCAGTGACCCGAGTCCCTGAGGCTGAAATCAAACTCTTCCCTCGAGGGCTGAGCAACCAGCTTCGGCTGCCAGCTCTTTTTCCGTCGACTCCTCAAGGTATGGAGAGGAGGAAGCGAGGGGTGAAAGGGGATGTGAAGAATACCTACTGCAGTGATGCAGACAAATGTGTTTTATGCAGCTAGGTGGACTCCTAAGGCCATTTGTTGCAGCCAAGAGAGAAGTAGGCGAATAATTACCAAGACTATACAGTTTTTCAGTGTGAAAAACATACAGAATTTCACAGAGGAATGACCATGCTTCCATCAATGCCATCCATATGAATATCTGTTTAATGAGCTCCAGGGTCTGCATTGATGCGGCAAACACTAATACACCTGTTTTGCTGTGTTTCAGAATGAATCTGTGCAGACAGATCATCTAGCACAAACAGATGTTGATGTTGACAATTCCGTGCGCAATTAAAAGCGGCTGTTATATCGACAGCAGACATGTTTTAGTGACACTCAGTATTCACTAAGTGACCGAATGGCATCTCTTTTAGTGTGTGTGTGTATAAATCTGTCAGACACAGTAA